TGGCCACTCAAGAGGGAGAAGGATCTGGCCAGCTGACAGGCAGTACAATGCTGGCAGGCCTCCCTAGCAGGTGCCATCCAGCAATGGAGATGCAGGGCATGGGAAGGGTCACTGTTCTTTTGTCTAGCTCAGTTTTCTCACTCTTGCTACAAGCCTGTAGGTATGTGGGGGTGGGTATGGGGAAGGGTTCAATATATTATGATTCATCATTTTTTCCTCACTTTGTCCTAGCAGCCCCCTGAAGCATAGATGAGATGCCTAGAGACAGATTCCCAGCCAGTCTCAACCACCTGAAGCCCCAGTGCATTAAAAAGCTCTAAGCTAGGGTCCCAAACTGGGGATACTCAAAGGCCCAGGGTGGAGCAGAGAACAGGATACTGGGCCTTTGCCCTCTAGGGGAACCAGTCCTGGGTCTTCTTCTTAGGGAATACTGGTTGGCCAGAGGGGTGAGCACTGGGACCTAGGGCCTTTCCCGCACAGTGGTATCAGTTCCAACCCCAGAGCAGGGGGAGTAGCTGCCTTGGGGACTGAGAAACAGGATATAAAGCCTTTCCTTTAGCAGGAAGCGGTTCTGATTTAGCCCCATGGTACGAAGGGTGATCTGGCACAGGGGCTTCAGAATGCAAGGCTCACTTTTCCCCACCCTCCTGCGTGTGTCGACTTGAATACTGTTATCCTTTGTACGTGGATTTTGGCGATTGTGTCATCTACTCCAATGCTCCTCTTTGTCCGATCCAGAGAACCTCACCTTACAGTTTCTGAGCCTGATAACTTGTGTCCTGGCTGGGGTGAAAGGGGCAGATGCATTTTGCTGACGGGAATCAAACTCCTTTGCACCAAGGTCTCCATGACATTTCTTCTGTTCCAGAGCATAGAGAAGGACAATGGACCCCTCCACCTCTGTAGTCAGGAGGAAGGGCTCTAACGGCTGAAAGGATCACTCCTCCTGCACGAAGAGACCCTACTAAATTTTCCACTGGCAGTATCTGCATATCAGCTGCCTGGCAGAAGCAATGCCAACCCGGATCAGCCCACTGACTCATGGAGTACGGTATTCTGCCTCCAGCACCCACCAGTACTTGTGTGCAGTTCATTAGAAAGCCAGACAGCACTCCAAAACCCACTAAGAAAGCCAGACATGCTCCACCCTGATCTCTCCACATTAGATAGACCTCAAGACAAGGTATATGAGGTCTTCTAGATAAATGGTTCTCTAACTTTTTGGTCCAATAGCCCACATCCAGCCCTCGGTACAATCCCAAGCCCCATCTCCCCACCACTGCTCACCATCCACCTTCAGGCGATAACCCACGTACAACCCCACACCCAACCTCAAGTGACCAACTGCCAGGGACCAAAATCTAGGAAAAATGTCCTGATGCTCCATCCTCTAAATGATATCTTGTGACTTAGTTTTCAGTCTGAAAACAATACACGTCAGGTGCCAAAAAGGATGTTACAAGAATACATTCAGTATCTGTTCCCAGTGTCTTGGGGGAGGCGCTCAGATAGTAGAGGAATTACAGACCCTTGGTGCGATACCCAAATATATACTAAGAGAACATGCCCAGAGCACAAAGCTTAAAGTCTTATGGGGCCCTATGATTACATGGGTAATGCAGATAGCGCTTGAGGTTTCCCGACATCACAGGACTGCAGCTTCATGGGGAATATTCTACCTTGCTATCATTTCAAATCCATTAGCCCAACCTTTTTGCACTGTAGACTGGATGAGTGGTGCCTGTTATGTCTGCGGACTGGATCCAGACAATGGGCCTGATCCAGCATGCAGGGAGGGCATGGGAGGGGTGCAATTCAGCCACAGGTGGGTAGAGAGGGTGGAGGGGTAGCTTTCCCCCTGCACAGCTGGGTTGGGGCTAAGGGTACGGCCTGGCCCTGACCTGGCCACATGTTGGGGAGGGGGCATGGCTTGGGGTGATGTGAGGGAGGGGCATGCCTGGCCTCATGGGGTTTGGCAGCAGGGGAGGGGTGGCGGTATTCATAGCTACTGCTGCCTCATTGCCCAATTTCCCCAACCCATGGGAACTGGATACCATGGCTCCACAGGGTCGACGGTTGAGCATCCCTGATCTGAACGTTCAAACTGAGCATATGTACAGTTGTAATATTTGTAATGGGGTCAGACCCGATTATCTACCAGGTCCCTTCCGACCCTAGGAACCTATGAACCTAGAAATCTATTTACACTGGTGTCATCGGCATTGCACTGGCACAAGATAGTAGTAGACAGTAGCTTTGCACTTTACAGACTAAACAAAACTCACTGTTGCACTTCATAAGGTGCAAATCTACCCTGCCTTCTACCTGACTTCAGATTAACACGGTTAACTCTTTACACTATAGTAATGGAGAGACGAGGCAAACCTCTCAAGGGGGGTAACTTGTCACAATCCAGTGCAAAATTACCCCTGCAAGGATCAAGAGTAGAACACTACTGCTTACATCCGCTGAGTTTTTGCCTGTTGGGGTCCAACTTCAGGTAACATTTACTAAAGGCAAACAGACTGCTAGTTTCTCCTCTTACCTCTAGCCACTAACTGTGGGAACATCTGTGCTGAACATTAACCAGTCCCTGAGATTCCCACCCGCACGCACTACACATCCAAATAATGAGAAAGAACCCCTGTTCCCAAGAGCTGGCATATTATGATTAGGGCCTTCAAAGCAGTTTAAGGACACTAAGTATTCATTAGAAACACCAGCCAAAATAGATATGCAGGGAGAAAAGGAAGATTATCCTTATAGTAGATTGGGAGAAACTGAGGCCTATCAAGTGAGTAGATCATAGGCTGTAAGTGAACTTGGAATGAAGTATAGCCGGTGCAACTTCCCCGTTGATGCGTATCTCATAGAGATGCTCAATTCATAGAGCTGTTTTCAACCAGTGCATATTACATTAGTGGTACCAAGGCAGGCATTTGCGGGGCTAATGACAGATGATTCTTGCCATTGATTTAAATTTCACTGAATCATTGAGGTCAGGGAAAAGCCTGCTAGGATTGCTGCTCAATGCCCTATGTTTCCCTTTATTGTTCTGCAACTTCATTTCCCACACAGCATGTTTGAGCTATTCTCACTACCATGTAATGTGAAACCAGGTAGAAGTTGTCCTTCCTGGAGTCTGGTTCTCTATAAATAGAGGCGCATGCCATAAGAAGCTGGAGTTTGTGGACACGTGGACCCAGTGTTTTAACAGGTGTGAATCTACCAGGTAAGTTAGAGAGTATGTTAATGCCTGGGTTATGAGCTGGACTGTGTATGCTGCGATGAGATTCCTGCAGCTAAGAGGAGAGGGAGAGAAGGGTACAGAGATACTTAAGTATGAAAGGATGAAGTGGTAGGTGGCAGAGTGCCCAAGCTCCCCCAGGTCTGGGAGGAAATGGGACCCGGGGCCAGGCACCAGCTGAGCCCGAGACACACAACACCCAGAAAGACAGATAGATAAAACTCAGAGAAACAGTGACTCGCACACATCAAACACATGCACAGGTACATGCACAGGACAGATGGACACTGGAGGAGAGAGAAAACAGATGCCATCTGATGTGTATGCTGTTATGTTCTGGTAACCCAGTGGTTCTCAACATTTCTAGACTCAAGGCACTCTCCATTATAGTCAAGATATCTGCAATTAGAGCCAGAAAAATGCTTGCTATTTACTTTTTCATTTTTTTTAACTTTTTTTTTTTGGCTATGGAAAAATAATAGAGCAATTCTTTTGTTGCAAAGAACTCAGAAATCCATAGCATCAAAGACGTTCGGACAAGCCCGGAATGAACTTTCTATCTGAAATCTCTGGGTTTATCTTGTAAATCAAGGGCAAGTGTTGGCACACCTAAGGGTATTAATTTTGTGCGACTCCCTTAAAAGGATCTTGCTGGACCCTAGTTGAGAATCACTATATTAAGCTGTCTGCTGTTGGATTCATCTAGCAGTCCCTTCAAGACATCACAAAATGCCCCTTGATTTCACCTCAGTATTGTGTATAATGGGAAAAGGTAGGAGATAAAGATTGCCAAGTTTTAGAGCTGGATGAAGGCTTCAAATTATATTTCAGGGACACTTTCTTTAATTCTGTTTAAAATGCCTGAGTTTTCTTCGAATAAACCATGGCAATAAAAAATTTTTATAGTTCAAAAAATTAAAAATAATGCTTTGAATGTTTTGTTTTGCTTTGCAAGAACTGCTTATTGCTGAAAAGCACTGATTTGATTGCAAAATAAGATTCAACAAGCTGTAATACTTTTAAATTGTGCTTTATTCCACTTCTTATATGGTGGGGTTTTTTTCTTGTCAGCGACAGTGACCATGTTCTGGCACCTATCCCCGGCTCTGCAACAGCTTAGGGCAGGGAAAATTTAGAAGTCAGGATTTCTGGGGTCTAACTTAGCCGTGAGACAGGAGTGAGATGCACTGGTTTAGAGGAGGCCTTCAGAGGACTCCTGGTTCCTATTGCTGGCTCCAGCGGGGAATGTGCGGCAGGATTTCTGGGCTTGTCTACACCATGGCAGCATCATATCCATTATGGCTGAGACAAGCCGGAGGTGTTCAAGAAGAGGTTGGTCAGGGATAATGTATTGTACTATGGGTATATCCCAGGCTTCTGGACTTTGCCGGTTGCTGCATGGGGTGGGGAGGGAATTCCTTCCCTCTACTCCTCCTGCTGCTGCAACGTCAGGGTTTTTTAAGCCTTTCTCAGAAGCAACGTAGATGTGCACAGTGTTGCCAAATTGTACCCAAAGGGCAGGGCCGGCAGTGACTGCAGTGTGGACGAGCCCTGAGATTTTCAAATGCTTGTCGTCCGTAAGAGGAAGCTTGAGGAATTTAATCCTTCTGGACCTCATGTCCCTGTCTGGATGTTCAGGGCTCCTGTACTTCCCTAGCCCTCATGATCCACACACTGGGAGATCCCAGACACTCCTGTGTTCGGAGGAAGCTCATGTTGGGTCTGACACCTCTTGTTCATGCTGCAGGTGACAATGGGGGTTCGGAAAGCCACCGGCCTGTTCCTGCTTTTACTGACGACCTTGTGCCTGGCCCCGTGTATCCGCTCCCAGGATCAACGCTTCAAGATGTTCCTGAAGCAGCATTATGACAGCCCCCGGACCGATGCCAGGAGGGATTACTGTGGGTTCATGATGCAGCAAAGGGGCATGATCAAGCCTTGCAAGACTCTCAACACCTTCATCCATGCTTCCCAAAAGCAGATCCTGGCGGTGTGTAGGGAGGGGGGTACCATCTATCACGGCACGCACCAGAGTCATACGCCTCTGGCCATCACTACCTGCAAGCTGAAGAACCTGGTGACAGGGGGGTGCAAGTATGAGAGCCATGCAGCCTTTAAATACATCAGCATTGTCTGTGACCAAGCTGGGTGGCCAGTGCACTTCAATGAGGGTGTGTGAGAAGGACCTGAACCAAAGAAATACCGGTCCCTCCTCACATGGGGACCATGTTGGACTGATATTTTTACCCCGCAACACCAGCAATAAACATGTTCACTGGAAGATAAGTGTCTCTGAGTGTGTGCAAAGGCTCCCAACAGGGGACTGCTGCAGGGACCAGGGTGGGGGGGGGGCACCTTCCCGCAGATTCGGTGCTAAACCTCACCATCCCAGCACTGCTAGTGGGCACCAAGGGCTGAAGCCGGGGAACTTCCCCCATGCCGACAACGTTCACCTCAGTGCCCCGATCGCAGCCGTGCTGCTGGCGGCTGGGAGATTGCTTTTAACAATCCCCCTGAGCGAGGACTATTATACACGGGGGAACCCTACCATCTTTTTCACTCCCTGGTGCAAAATGCAGTTTCATTTCCACCTGGGAGAACTTCTACAATCCTTGAATTCTCCTTTGCCTGAGGAAGGGCGCTCGGGCCCCAAAGTTTGCAAAGAAAGATTTAATTTTGGGGGTTTTTTGCTAAGCTTGCAAAGAAAAATTATTTCAGGGGTTTTTTTTGCTACTATTTAGCTGGTCTAACAAAAGCTACTGCCTCTACCCCCTCGTCTTAGCAAGGCCATGGCGCTTTTGGTCAGAACGAAGCAACAAGTGAACCCCGCACGAAGGGCCCGCTACGCAATGCGATGAAAGCCGGGTAGCAACCCGGTCCAGAGCCGTGCCACCGTTTCAAGCGCCGCCTTGGCTGCTGGTTGGCACTTTGTATAGTTATTATTATATTTGATGGTGGGATGAGGGCTTTGCATGTGCCACCGGCCTAAAACCCGCCAGCTGCGTCCTCTCCACAATGTGTAGGGAGGGCCTTAAGCGGGTCAGCGCACTGAGGAGCAGGCGGCTCTGGCCCCAGCTCCAGCATTAAAGCGCTTCCCGGGCGAGCTCCGGCCCCACATCACCGCGGTGGTGCAGAACGCAGAGAGCAACATTGTTACCATCCCACAGGCAGTTGCAACATCCGCCGGAAACTTTGTAGCGTCCGCAGCGTTCCAAATATTTGCATACCGAGCCGCGATTGGCCGCTCCCTCCCCCGCCGCGCTCTGATTGGACAGCGGGCGGTGCCCCGTGGCGGGAAGGCCCAAGATGGCGGCGGCCACACGGGCCATGCGGGGCTGCCCCGGCCTCGCGCACCGGCGCCACCCGGGCGTGCTGCACCTAAAAGCCGTGCGGCTGCCGCCCGCGCTGGCCGCCGCCGCCCACCGCCTGCTGCTGCAGTGGGGTGGGTGCCCGAGCGCCCCGGGGATGCTTAGGAGGCTGCTGCTGCAGGCAGGGCTGGCACTACGTCCGCGGTTCCCCAAGCTGTAGTCTGGTCAGCAGGTTTATTACAAGTTGCCAACAATATGCTTGGACCACCAAACTTCAAACGTCAAGTTCAGCTGAAAAATGTCCTGCCGGTATTTAAGGTTGCGGCGTTTTTAAACCGCTGCACGGTGTGTCCGAGCGTGGGGACCGCCGGAGTTGACGCAGGGTGGTGGGGGTGGCTCTTACAAGTGACGGTTGTGGGTGTTTTTGGCCCTGCCCAAAAGCGTTGCCCACCCCAGGACTAGACAGACTCCAGAGGTCCCTTCCAGCTCCGCTTCTTTGCACCCTTTAGGTTTCTGGGCCTAAGCAGAGTAGGGCTGTGAAAAGTTTCACCAGCTGTCTTGTTTCTCAGCCCTACTTGTTTCAAGCATGTGCAGATTGATACCCAGCCCCCTGCGAGCTACCCCAGAAGTGGCTGCATGTTGCTGTTGGGTGAACTGTGCAGGTCCCAATGACTCTGACTCCCATTTCCCACCTGCATTATAGTCTCCCATTTCATTTTTGCCCTCCCAGGTTCCTCTGTGCAGGACATACAGAGTAAAGCGGAGGCCCTCACCAACTACTTGTGGAGCCGGAAGCGGCCTCTGGAGACGGGTGATCTGAGGAGGAAAGCGCAGCAACTGGAACAGCAGCTCAGAGAGAAAATGGTCCAGACCTCATCATCAGGTGAGTACAGCTTTTGGGAGGATGGGGTGAAAGCCAGCTGTGAGTGAGGTGACAGGCTCTGTGGTGAGTCATGCCGTCCTTAAAGTTGCTTTCAAGCTGATCGTCCCTGGGTGTCACATTTATTTGTTGGATTTAATATGCCGCCCTTCTCAGGGAAGCTTACAGTAAGAGATAGGATAACATATAAAAGGAAATGGAATATTGAAGAGTGAAAACAGAAACTTCTCAAAGCAATGACCTTGCTTAGACTTGCTTGCAAAATGCCTGCCCGAATGGGATAGCCTTAAAGCACTTCGGGGAAAATGTCCAGGCTCTGCCTCTGGCAGGTCTTAAGGGTGAAAGAGCAACTGCGAAGAATGATTGCCCACACATGTTCATCAAGCATAGTTGCTGCCCTGATGGCACTAGCAGGAGGCCGGGTTGCTCTCGACTGACTTTAGGGAATGCAACAGGGCATAAAGGGTACAAGGCAGTCCGTTGGGTACTTAGGGCCCAGACTTTTTAAGGCTGTATAGGTCAAAGCAAGTTCGCTGAATGAATTGCATCCAGAAAGCTACTGGAAACCAGTACAGCCTCTGGAGCTACTGCTGGCTCCATGAGTCTCCAAGGGGCAGACTAGCCTGGCTGGTCTACCACACCAGTGGGAGCACTGGAGGACAAGGCCGTGCATGTTTAGAAGGTAATGGGATCATGACGGGTGATGCTAAGAGCGGCGTGCTGCAGGGAGTAAGGCTTTCTCCTTTGGTGTGAGCGTTGTCCACCACATCTTTGTTTTCTCCCTCTCTATCTCGGACACACCAGCTCTGCCGAATGTGGCAGACGAACAGAAGCTACAGGACAAGATACTGGCTATGCTGCGGAAAACCACTTACCGCTGGGAGGCACTGAGGTAACAGCAGCTCGGGGTTGTTGTCCTTCTGCAGTGCTAAGATGCAGCTCGCCTTGGGTTGAGGTAACTGCATATAGATTCAAAAAGGTGTTGTGCAGGGGTGGGATGGGACAGATGGGTAACGGCGGCAGGACAGAGCTGTCCTGAAGTTGTTTGCTTTGTGTTTGGATGAAACCAATTCTGCATCAGAGCAACTTGGCAAGAGCTCAAAGGGATGTCGTGTCTGCTACCCGAATATAGCCAGTGTTTGTGAGGGGGGACGGTTGGATACTAGTCACACAGGTTTGCTTTGTCTGACCCTGAAATGCAGTTGCTTTGGGACATGGGATTTAACAGCCCCACTTCTGGGCAGTGAGAAGGAGGTCAGCATTGATGCATAGGGCTCAGCCCCATGTGCTGCATCTATTCCTTTCTTCCCAGGTACACTGACGAGCTGAGTCTTGTATACATGGCAGCTCGGCTGGCTGGAGAATTTGCAACCATGTCCAGAGTCTTCCATGAGGTGCGATGCTGTGGTAATCAGGATCCCAGAGCTTGGGGTAGACCCTACAAGTCTGAGTCTTAGCTCCAAGCCCATGGTGTTTCTCTTTCTTGTTTTTGTTCCCTAGATACAGAAGCGGGTCCCAGGCTTCGCCCCCCGCACCTTATTGGATTTTGGCTCTGGGACTGGCTCTGTCAGCTGGTGAGCCCCCACCTCAAGAAGGAATTATGTCCAGGTAGTGCAAGGAGTGTTGTTTTCTGCACCGTGGTCTCGCTTGTTCCCATCTTTCTGCAGGGCAGCGCACAGCATCTGGGGCAAGAGCCTGAATGAATATGTGTGTGTGGACAGCTCGGCCTCCATGCTTTCCCTCGCTGAACAGCTGCTTCAAGGTTAGGCTTCTAGCAGGTGCTGGTGTGCATGCCGGGGGACGTACCGCTTCCCAAAGATCATGGTCTGAGCCTTAGCCAGCCAGCACCTGTTCGAACCATGAGACCCAACTGCTAGCCCCTCCTCTGGGGGGCAACTCAGGAGTCCTGTTTTCCAGCTTCCCTGCTCGATTTTCCTACACCCCTCTGCACCCTACAGCGAGGTTAACCCTCACTGTATCTGGGTTTGGGGAGGTGAGGGTGGGGTGGGATGAGCTATGTCTGTTGAAGCCCCTCTCATTCCTTGGAGAGCATGCTGCCCCAGCTGGGCCTGTTCTTTGGAGTATCTCTTTGTACCCCCAGGATGCCGGCTCCCCTCTTTTGATTATCTGCTTCTCTTGTTTCTCCAGGTGACTCTGATTCCCAGACGCCCCACTTCTCAACCGTGTATTTCCGACAGTTCCTCCCCGTCTCACCCAAGGTAGAAATGCTTTTGTCTTGCCCTGCAAACTGTGGTGGACATTAAAGGGATCTCATAAGGGCATGTGATTCTTGTGGAAAATATATTCACGAACTAGGAGAGCAGATTTGACTCTAGTACGTATTTGTGCCTGGTAGCCTTTCTGCTTCTGATCTTGTTGGACTCCGGCTTGCTACTGATCCTTGGTGCCGCTTACCTGCCAAGCTCCCACAGTGCTTTGCAGATGACCCTCCTAGAGTCATGACATATTTTTGTGTCCAGAGGCTTTGCTAATGAGCCTGACACTAATGAGCTGGGGAAGAGTGGTGTGAAAGACTCCTGTCCTGGGTGCCATCTGCCCAGTGAGATCCTACAATGGATTGAGGAGGTGATGTCAGGATGGAGCTGCTAAGAATGGGGAATTGAGCCTGTCTCGGCTCTTCTCATGGATTTCCCCTCAACAGCCCTGCCACCTTTGGCAGACAAAGAGGGTGTAGTTTGGTTTGGTCTCCCACCCCCAGCTGACACCCCATCTCTTGGCAGGTGAAGTTCAACCTTGTGGTCTCTGCTTTCTCTCTGAATGAGCTGCCCAGCCTGGCTGAGCGGACAGAGACCATCCAGACACTGTGGAGGAAGACGGATGACTTTCTGGTCAGTGAATCCTCCAAGCCTATGATTGGCTTCCAGGCACACTTGGCCAAAACCTGTTCCCCTTACCCCATCCCCCACCTGCAGCTCCTTTCTCCTAGATATGCCTGTCTAGCTGCTTCTCTCTCTCCTGTCTCAGGTGTTGGTTGAGAATGGCACGAAGGAAGGGCACCAGATGCTCATGGAGGCACGAGAAGTTGTCCTCAAGGTGAGAGAACTCCTCCCCACCTTGTCTGGATCACCAATGAGAGCAACTTCTGCATCCTCATAGCTGTTGTTTCGCAGGTCCCTTGTCAGTTCCCTTAGCCCTGGGGTGGGACCCAGGCATCTGGAGCAGCCCAGGTGTCCAGAATGGGAGTGTAGGGCAATCAGACTTGAGAGGGATCTGCATTTCCAAGCTAGGGGAGACTAGTATGGATGGGACCGCAGTATCCAAGCAAGCGACACAGGGTGCTCTCCTCCTGACCGGTGAGACCAAGGAGTTCAGGCTGGTAGTGCAGGGTGAGAAGGGGAGTGCAGCCTGCCCCCAGGGTGCTCTAACTCCTATTCTCTTTTCACCCACAGGGTGGGGACAAGCTGGCTCATGACCCACGAGAGGCTCAAGTCTTTGCTCCAGTAAGTGCAGGCCTGGCCTGGGGATGTCGATGCTGAGATTTGCCAGTGACTGTCTGTCTTTTGTCTCCAGTGCCCGCACCACCTGCCCTGTCCCCGCCTCTCATCTCAGAAGCCCCTGCCTTGCAATTTCATACAAGCCTATCATCCCCTACCCTTCAGTAAGGTAAGTGCCTATTATATCTGCTGGAAGGCTGTGCAAGGAAGCAGTGATGGTGGGCAGCAGGGCAATGGAAAGCGGGATGTGAATTCCTCCTCTGCGGGGATGGGGTTGGGGACTGGATCCAAGCCAACCAGGAGAACTGACTGGCTCAGGGAATAGGGAAGACAGTTTTCCCCTTCAATGATATGTGTGATATGATCAAGCACCAGACCAGAAGACTGGGAACCAGGAACATGTGTGTAGTGTCGTTCTCAGCTCATCATATGAAGATCTGTTAAGGGTGGGTGGGGAACACCCCTTTCCCTGGCTTAGCATCCTGTGCCTGTGTCATTGCAGAACCCAGAGGTGAAGGAGAAGAGATTCTCCTTCTTGATCCTACGCCGTGAGTCTGGGGAAACCGAAGAGCCCTGGCCTCGCATAATCCAGCCAGTTCTGCCCCTTTCTCGCCATGTCCACTGCCATCTGTGCTGTGCTGATGGGACTGTGCAGCACGCAGTCATCACCGCACACAGACATGGCAGGTACCAGCCTCGCTACTAGAAGGGCTCTGCCCTCATCCAACCCTTGGTGGGGAACTGATTGTCTCAGAGAGGTGGGAAAATGGAATGGGGGACCTTTTTCTCTCTGGAGGTTAGGCTGCCAGTTGTGGTTTGGCCTAGGGCTGAGGGGATTGGCTAGTGGACAGGACAGAGGATGGGTTTGCTGTCTGTGGAGTGCCGGCCTCCAATCCAGTCCTAATGCTAAGGCAAAAGGACTGGCTTTCACACAGTCGGGAAAGATAACACGGGGCCTTCTTGTCTAAGCGAGACGGGGTGTTGGCTCTCATCCAGCCCTACTGTGGCAAACCCGAGTGGTTTAGGGGCCAGGGTGTGCATCCCCTGGCTTTTTCTTTTAGGGTTGTGAGGTGTGATCTAGCTCCAAGATAGGGGCGCTGGCAAGCTTGAAGTCGGGGCATGGAACATAGACTTTCCTCTCAAGGGGGTACCGGCTCCAGTCTGGCCTTGAGGTTTGGGGGATTAATTATCTTTGAGAATGTAGACCCCCTCACCAGCCTTTCCCTTGCAGGGATCTATACCGCTGTGCCCGGCATAGCCACTGGGGTGACCGGCTGCCTGTTGTGAATGTCCCAGAGGAGATATCGCCATCATCGGGGGATAATGGGAGTGCCCAGACGGAGGATCAAAGCTGAGCTGGCCCTGTTGCGCTGGATAGTCCCCTCCTGTGGGTCGACTCTATGCCATGGACTGATGAATGCAGCCCTCAAGCCTAGCATCTGCCTGGTTCACCCAGAGGAGCATCCCCTGCTGTCAGTGCTCTGGCAGAGGATGCTGTAGTGCGGAGGATTGTGGTCTTTGACCTGCTTTCTGCATGTAATGTTCTTGCTTTTCCTGTTTCCTCTTGTTACATCGCTCTGTCTGTCCCTCTTGTGTTCTGTCTGTCCATGCCCTAGTCATCCTTCATCCAGGTGATCATCTTCCATGCCATTCCTGCCCTTGTTGTTTGCCATCTCTGACGCTCGTCCCCATTTGCTCTTCTGATGCATCTCACCTGCTTCCTTTCAGTTGTGGGTCAGTTCAGATATTCGTTGAGTCTTATTCTCTCTCTTTCCCCTGCTATCTCCATGCATCCAGGAAAAGAGCCTGCAGGGATCACTAATGGCTAGACTACAGCCGCAGGAGCAGAACTTTGAGTTCCCTTCTCCATTAGGCAGATTTCTGTTCTTGGGGTTGTCATGTTACCTAATAAACAGTTTGTGAAAAATCCAGCGTCTGCAGTCTCTGGGCTTCAAAAGTGATGGGAGTATTCAACTGGCAGAACTTGGGGAGCCCAGTATCCTGCGCTATATCCCTGACCCCAGGGACAAAGCAAGGCACTGGAAGTTCATGCTTCCCCCCACTCTCCAGCTCTGGGAGGAGAGGGGTCTAGTGAGTAGAGCAGGAGGTTGCTGTGATCTGGCTTCTGTTGTGCAACTGGCTGTATCTCATCCCTTCCCTTTTTCTTTGCTTTGCTTTTTCTCTTGTGAGGTGTTGGAAGTGGTAAGATCTTGCTCCTAGTTCCCTGCTAAAAACTGGGCTTCTGGTGAGGGAATGCTTTGGGAGAGTGGAGGCAGAGTGAGGTGAAGAGCATTCACTGACGTCTGCTCTGCCCCCATGGGAGACTGGTGGCTGCAGAGCCGTACTCACAGGCCACTCCACGCCGCCTCCTGCCCTTGGAGTGGGAGAAACGGCGCCACTGGTTGCTGCTGGCCTCTTGTACCCCTTGGCTGGAGATCCTGTTTCAAATGTTATGCCTGTTTGTACCCTCTGCATACAGTTGCGGTATTTGCGGCTGGGACGTTCAAAGTCCGTGTTTGCTTTGTGATCTCCATAATTCAAGTGGTAAAACCAGCTTGGCATGTTTCAGCTGTGTCACTCCCCAAGTTTCCATAACACTCAATCTGGAGCTGAATCATTGCATCATTAGAGAAGTGGGGCTGGAAGGGACCTCGGGAACAAATTTGACTGGTGGTGTCTGGAGTGGGTGCGGGAAATGTGGGTTACTGTGTGATCTTTGGGTTCCTGCAACAATGGTGGCGAGGGAAGACTGCCTCTCTTTGCATCCCTGCAACACCTAGAATCAGAAAAGTAGAGCTAGAAAGGACCTCGGGAGGTCACCTAGTCCAACCCCCTGCTCAAGGTAGGATCATCCTTGTCTAAACCGTCCTGGACGTGTCTGTCACAAGTATTTCTTAAAACTGAATGAACAAACCACTCACACGACACAATGCTGGAAATTTCAAAACCACTCTTAACTTGCCCAAGGTGAAGCAGGGAGACTGCAGGGACAGCATACTGACTGCAAGGACAAGTAGTTAAATATGTTCACCCTTCACGCCATGCTGGGGCAGTAGGGCCAGCTCTGATTGAGGGGAAAGGACCACCTGTGGGCTCTGTCTTCACCACAACATACACTAGGGTGGCTATTTATAGTGTCCAGATTGGAGACTCATTCACTTGCCCCCCAAGCCAGCCAGTGCTAACAGCTTGGGGCCATATCACCAGCCTAGGGAAAGGCTTAGGGTGCATGCAATGCAGTGCACTGTTCTGGGGCCCTTATTGAGGGCAGAGCACTCCCTATGGATCCCCTGCCCCATTGCTGGCACCCCTTGCCCCCAGGCTGCAGCATTGGGGTCAGCACTGACTGGGGAAGAGAGACTCCCTCCCCTCAGCACCTGCAGCAGATTTATAGGTAACTAGAGAAGTTGTAGGCCAGTTCCTGCTGGCACGGGTTGTAAATTGCTCCATTGAGAATAAATAGAGCATGAAATGTAGGGATACATTTTAAGGAATAAGGTAGTTCCCATGTGCTTGATGCAGATTAAAATCAAAGTAGTAGAGCCATTCACCTGAAAGGGGCACCAGCTTCAATTCAGCCCCAGGGCAAGGAGGTGGGGGGTGGTGTGGGCAATGAGGGAGTCTCCAAGTCCCCATCTTGACTCTAGGGTGGTGGGACGTGGGGCAGGATGCTTTTTCCTTCTGGAGAGGTAGACTGGCTCTGATGCGGCCGCAGGCTGCTGGCACCGGAGCGGGGCTGGGGAATGGGGCTCCAATCTGCACCCTATCAGTAACTCAATCTCCCATCTTGCAGCCCTGATGAGGCCTGAGTCCTGTGGTCCCATGACTGCTGGCACCAAGCACCACCCAGTGAGCAAAGAGTCCAGTGGATGGGTCTGAAAGGCTGAGTTGGCTTCTTCCCGCGTGGGGGATCCTTCTGGACTACAGCAGGGCCATGGGCCCCTGGGGCTGTATGTATGCAAGCTGTATCCCGGGTTCAGATCCACCAGACAGCTGAGCCAGCACTATTTGCCTTGCATTGCCTTGATCTTGAGAAAAGGGCCTCTTGAGCGGTGTTTACTAGTACAGTATTTAATGACAACGTACTTGAAGGGAAGTGGAATGGGGAAAGGAGGCAGAGGGCGGGATGCAGGGAGGGCGTTGGGAGTTTCAGCAAGGTGATTTGCTCCTATTGCTTCAGGGTTGGGAGACAAGCGAGCAGGTAACGATCAGCATCAGGCAGGGATTGGAGCAAGAGAGAAAATAAGAAAAAGGAATGGGAGTGAGGCAGGGAGGTAGAGGGATCAAAGTGGGGCAAGAGGAGAAGAGAGAAGTGGGATGGTAATGGTTGGAGTAACAGCAGAGAAACTAATGGGAAGGGGAGGAAGAGTGGCCAGAAGGATGCTGCACCACTGCCTCACTTGCTGGGGACAGTGAGCAAGGCGCTGCCTGAGGTTAGGCATGAGGACAGAGGAGGGTTGCATTTCCAACACCATTCTGCTCCTTGGGTGGGAGCGGGCTTGGCTGCTTGGCTGTAGGGGTCTCTTCAATGCAGTAGGGGCATTTCTGTCTGTTCTTAGCTAAGATCACCATTGAGGTCGCCCTTGGCTGACGTGAGCTGAGGAGTGTAACAACCCAGGGGCGTCTGGCCCTGCACTGTCCCCTAAAGAGATGGAGCTGCTCCTGGCTGTGAAGATCGGCTGCCTGGTGGGGCTGCTTCTCCTCACGCTGTTCTGCGGCCTCGTCCCGGCTCAGGTGAAATGGTTCCAGATCCACGCAGCCACAGGTGCGAGTGGGGCATAGGCAGGGTGGTTTGATCTCTCCTTTTCTCTCCCTTCCCCCCCACAACTCACCCTGTCCTATTTCCCCTCTACATGGCCTTGACACTCAGCTGTCGTATCTTCCCTTTATCACTATTTCACGGGCTGTTTCTATTTTGTCTGTCTGTCTCTGCCTGTGCTGGTTGTCTGTCCAGCTGATTGCTCCCTGCCCTGAGCTCATACCACTGCAAGCCTCTGGTATTCCTGGAACTAGGCCTGGGGGGGAACTTCATTACAGAAGAGACATGGTGATGGTGCTCAGGCTATGGGGCAATTGCAGGTGTGATGGATATCTTGTCCTTTCTCTACCTGCCGCGGGGCTGGAGATGCATGTGCTTGCAGCATATTCCTGGAATGGAGGAGGGCTGTTTCTTGCCCTCCTGCTTCCTTTCCTGCTTCCCTCGGCCTCTCTCCTTTTCTTTCTTTGTCTTATGTTCCCCTTAAGTTTCTTTCCTGTGCTTTCTGCTATCATCCTTTCAGTCTGAGCTTAACCCCCCCCCCCCCCCCAC